AACTATGTCAAATTGATGCCTCGCGACCTCACCAGCTAATTCACGCGCTTTTCTTCTTCGTGAGAAGATGATCCAGTTTCTACTGTAAACTCCTACTGTCTGCATCGTTTCCGTCGATCCTTGTCTGTTGTGCCATAACTGCATGAAGTTGGCTGCCTCGCCTGTTCAGGATGGACAGATGCCCCGTTGTTGACTGATACCTTGGCTGTCTTCTTGTCGGCCTTTGGCAACTGTCGCCGTGCTGCTACACCCCACCTTGCGAAAGGTATGAAGCGGTTCTGATCGCAGACTTTTTGCAGTCTACCTTGACACCTGAACAGTCTGTGTGTTACGCGGTAACCCGAGCGACAACCGAGCCAGTATAACGTACGATATCATCAATACAATGATAGTCAGGTTGATCAGTTATAGGAAGACTTTGCAACGGTCTCAAACCCTTTGGTATTCTCATCTGGGCTTGGGATTGGCAACGAAGTAGTTTAGCAGACATTAAATAAATTCAGATTTATTTTATAATTCAGTTACTGCAGTATTTAATGTTTCTGCTTCTCGCTTCTTCAAGATTATCAGCATTTTTATGTGAATTTCACTTTGAAAATACAGGCACTCCTCCCAGTTATGGTCATAAGGAAATATCAAGTCTATTGGTCTGATGGATGTTCAGCATTTGACAAGAAGCTCTAAGGGTTGTGCAGCAACTTACTTGACGAACTCTCATAATCGGTTCGAGCCCTCTTTTCCTTCCGTGCTTGAGTTGCCCAATGAATGAAATTGAGTCTGATTGGAAAGTAATTGCTAAATCAAAGGTTACCAGCTGTCCTAAATGTAATCATGCTGATCTATGACCAAATGCCCGTTTGCAGACGAATTTTTGCATCACAAATATTTTTTTTGAATGCAGGCAAAAAAAGCGACAGTTCACCCTATCATAAAACTATTATTACTCTACCGCTATTTAAACTTAATAAATTAGTGAGAAAGACTTCAGACTTCACAGAACAGAAAAGTGCTTTTTGAACTTGCATCTTATTCTGTGGTTACTGATTTCTTGAAACGGAGAGACGATCTCTTCCACTGATGATAGAAGAGTGTTGAATTAGTCTCTTGCAAAAGGTATACAAATAAGTGATAACTGATTACCAAATATTCGAATTCATGAATGAGAACTGGTTGAACTAAACCAGCAGAAGTTATCGTTGTAGTTCTCGCTAACTTAAGATTCGAACGCGATCGGTGACTGGCGGCAACAACGGAGAAAAGAAATCGTTGTTCACCCTGCTTAACGAATCAAGACCAGAACAATGTGGTGACAGTAAACTCCCGAACTGTGGGCATGTGGCAGTGTATGCTGTGATTATGATTTTCGATAACTGCCTTTATCCGTATTTGATGACCATAGCATTATCCGCTTGCTAGCTTTGCAACACTTATGCTACGCAGTGATGAGAAGCCACTGCGTTTGTTAATGTTATTATTTTCATAGTGCAATTTTTAATATGTAGTGCTCGCCGCCTTCATTTGTACTGTTCATCCTTGTTTGACGTTGGCTTCTTGGTCAATGTCTGCATTTGGTTATAACACTGGATTAGTCATGAACTAAAACCATGTATTGATACCAACCCAGTTTGTCAAGCACAACGAGATTCATTTTCTTAATTTCATCTTTCGCCAAGGATACCTGTATCCTATCACAAACGTTTACGTGAAATCAATAATTTTTAGCAAAACGCAGGACTCATGGTTGTTGTTGTTGACATGAATAAATCTCTCATTTATTGATTGCCAAAAACAACGCGGACAGAAACCCTGGATGAACAAGCAACTGCCTGAATAAATACAACCTGTTGTACTACGCAAAGAATCCGTGAAATGCAGGCACTGTAGTACTACGCACAGTACTCTATATAAGGCCACACCTTCGTAATGTTTTCCATGACTCGGACTTCACGTCACTGTTGTGCAGTTCGATCTTTGATTAGGAGCAAAGATCCATTTCTGCGTGCACCTGGATCATATGAAATATTGTCGTTTAAAGTTCGGCCAGGGTTTAAGGTCTTTTCAATGGAAAAGTGCAATAACTGCCTGTTGATCGAAGACTATTTACGTCACTGGCCTAAACAACAAGAATCCAAATGAGCATGATCAATTATTTAAAAGTATATTGTTTTCGTCGCCTCATCCTTTGCCAGTTTATTAATCATTTTGAATTGAGGGAAGAAATTGACAAAGTGATGCCAAACTCAATGATCACAAAAAGTTGCATCGAGCAAATGACCAATGCTTATGTTCGATAGCATTCTTAGAATCGTTCCAAGAACATTGAATATGGATGCCAAATGAAAATCACCTGGTCGATATCTGATAAACTAATTTTAATTCAATACCCACCAACCGTAGTATACATAGACTGATGGTAGCTAAGTACAAATCATATAATCCTTGATAGGACACTGCTTTCGATTATGGGCATGAATCTTTGGCAACATATGAGCTTATAGAAGCAGCTTTCCAAGTGTTCAGAGGAAAGAGCAAGGTTAAAACCTATGGACTGCTCCTAAATTTGTAAAAATGTTTTTTACCTCAGAATGCACTCTCAATGTAGTCAAACTTAGATGAACGAATAATATTCATAGTCAGTGAGAGCAATTCAAAAGTCAGAAACCAAAAGCGAAGAGCCATTA